TGGCTCTGGTCCAGGGTAGCTTCCTAAAAACGAGCGTCACGTTTACAGTAAGAGCTCGTACATTCCCGGAATCCCCCGCCTGCCGACACATCGCCTTTTCCAAAAGCTCCTCATCTGAAACTAAATATCCCGTGCTTTCACATGCACCTCCTCATATCTGTTTGTGGCTGTTCTGTTAGAAACTGTAGGTGAACTGACAGCTAGTGAAAGATTCACGCCAAGGTCTGCTGGCAAGAGTGTAAACAGTCTGTGTGCAAATGAAGAGTCCTTTTTCAAAAAGAGTTGGCAGAAGTTCAGCGCTCGATATCTCTCTTTATACACACTGGGATCTGTGAATGTATTATTTGTATTATTAATTCGCCTGGATTTCCAACTCGGCTTGTAAACAGGTTATGGAAAGTTTTTAATAAGCTGTCACTGAACCTTAGAAAAGCGTGATGGATGGGTCCACACCTACGTGCTTCCTTTTTTTCCTGAGACCAGCTAAGATGAGGGGCAGATCTGTCCAAACTGCCCTGTTGAGACTTGTTTAGATTTCTTTATTCAGATTTCCATGAACTGAGGTTCTGTTGGCTTTTAGATGCCATCACTTGACTTTTCATAGAGTCACTTCCTGCGGTTTCCTTTGATTATCTACTGACAAAATGAGAGCTGTTGGAATTTGGCTGCCTTAAACAAACAAGGAAGCAAAGCTCCGCCTCCTACATACTCTAAAACCATTCACAACATGTTTGGACTTCAAGCACCACGTGTACATTGACCTCACTATAGTATTACTCTACAACTCGATTGCGGGTGTTGATTTTAGCTGGAGAGAGGAGCTACAAGGACATTGTGCAAAGTCACATGGGATTAAAAAGTCATTAATATTTAGATGATCAGACAGGCTGTAAAAGCAAACACAGGTTTGTGGAGGTTGTCTAAACCAAACGCCGGTGGGGCTGAGATGTTACTGCATGGGAGGAAACAGCAGCCGGTCAAAGGAGTCCTCTGACAAACTACACTGCTCACAAAAATAAAGGGAACACTTAGACAAAACAATGTAAGTCAAACTGTCCACTTAGGAAGCAACAATCAGTGTCACATGATGTTGTGCAAATGGAACAGACAACAGGTGGAAATCATAGGCAATTAGCAGGACGTCCCTAATAAAGGAGTGGTTCTGCGGGTGGTGACCACAGACCGTTTCTCAGTATCTCAGCTTTCTGGCCGATGTTTGAATGCTAGCAGTGATTTCTCTCTAGCGGTAGCATTAGACAGAGTCTACAACCCACACAAGTGGCTCAGGTAGTGCAGCTCATCCAGGATGGCACATCAATGCGAGCTCTGGCAAGAAGGTTTGCTTTGTCTGTCAGTGTCCAGGGCATGAAGGCACTACCAGGAGACAGGCCAGTACATCAGAAGACGTGGAGGAGGCTGTTGGAGGGCAACAACCCAGCAGCAGGACCGCTACCTCCGCCTATGTGCAAGGAGGAACAGGAGGAGCGAGAGCTCTCCAAAATGACCTCCAGCAGGCCACAAATGTGCATGTGTCTGCTCAAACGGTCAAAACAGACTCCATGAGGGTGGCCTGAGGGCCCGACGACCACGGGTGGCGGTTGTGCTTACAGTCCAACACCATGCAGGATGTTTGCCAGAGAACACCAAGATGTTGGTGCATGACCGGTTTGGCAGCGGGTCAGTAATGGCGTGGTGTGGCATTTCAGAGAGCCTGACTTCCATTAGATACCATGATGAGGTCTGTGTGGAGTTTGCATGTTCTCCCCGTGTTTGCGTGGTTCTCCCCGGGTACTCCGGCTCACGTGTGGTGTCAGTTTGAGATTCCTACATCGCCTTGTTCTCGAGTTATCATATACACAAGAGTTTTAGAAAGCTTGATCTCAAACTCATCAGAGACTTTTGCTGATACAGCGATGTTATCAATTTCAAACTTTATCGCATTCAAAGCCTGCGTGTCCATGAGGCCCTCCCGCCTGCAGGGTGAGGACAACACTGATAAAACTAGAACTTCCCTTTAGCCAGCACGCTCAGTAAACACATCCTGAGCTGTGTGCTGTCCCTGTGAAAGCACCAGTGTTACAGTGGTAGGAAAATGTGTTTGCCCCGTTCAGAGTTCCTGTTTCTTTGTATGTTTGTTGCACTTAAATGTTTCCAATCAACCAGTCGAAAAAAAGAAAAAGAAAAAATCAATCAAAAATCGGCCGATAGATTTGACTTAAATCACCAAATACTGGTATCAGTTTAAAACAGATCGCTTAAGCTCTGATTGAGAACTTGAAACCTCTTCACAGTCCTTCAGATCACTTCCGTCAAACGTCACCCTCCCAGTGACATGCATTCTGTTCTGACTGAACTATTTTTGCAGTTTTAGACTCTTTCAGCTCATGAGTTGGGTTTTGGACCCATGCACTGGGTTTCCAGCTGCGCTTTCAGATGCACCACCACTTCCAGCAGCAAACGGCACACGAACAACATCTGCAGTTTTGTTTGTGTGGTGGAACGTTCAGCAGCTAAAGACACAGAAATGTTTCTCAGAGACAGCAAACCACTCCCATGAGCAGCACTGCCAACTACGCCTGCATTTTAATAACTGTTGGACTCACATCAATAAGGACGGGATGTCGTTTATGTCAGAATTCATCATGTGAGAATCAGGCCAGAGCAAAGTTCTGTTCCAAAGGCCCGATCGTGAGGAGCGGGCAGCGTTCAGCACATATTCATTAATCGATAACAAACGGCTGCACAACACGCTGTGCTTCAAAGAATTTCAAATTGTATATAATATTTCGCAGTTACTATTCCTACATGATTAGGACTGAAACAGTGAACTGACAACTGTTCAGGCTACTGTAGGGGTTAAAAACAGACATACGGCTCAGTGATCACCAATAAGTGATCCATCAACCAACGACTGCGGGCATGTAGAAACCCATTATTTAGTGCAAAACGCTGATGATGAGCGCATACACAGCCATGCGTATAAAAGATGTTTTAAGAACACAAGTGGTGCTGTGTGTGTGGATGTGAACAGACAATATGCATGACTGTGTTCACCATCTTCAGTGCTGAGTGCTCTTACTGTCAGGACTCTCAGATTTGACTTGGAAATGAAGCGTAATCAAGGCCCACTCAGAGTTTCACTTGAGAAGCTATTTTACATTCTGGTGCCTTTTCGATTAGTCTGGTGTGACCTGGACTGTACCGGCCAATGGGCAGTCACTATCATGGCAACACCTTTATTTGAACCTGACACAAAGCGTCCTGTGCAATTACAGGTAGCAGCCAAGGATACATGACAGTCCAGGCTGTGCGAACAAAGTGTGCGCTGGCAGCAGGTGGAATCGTAGCACCATGTCTCCATTACTCCGGTTGCTTCTTACAAATAATGCCCCCACAGCTCCATCACATTCAGATTCCCCCCACAGCAGGAAGCAGTGGTATGCTTTCCATTACCATTTACATTATCATGTCATTACTCATCATAGATGAAGCTAGTTAAGGGTCACCATAACTATCCAATGAAAAAACTGTTACTATTTAGTTACATCAAAGTCAGTGCAAACAACAAATCTAGAAAAACACTGTTTTAGTTTTTTCTATACTGATTGGTTCAATTGTGTTTTTTATGTTGTAGAAGATGTCAAAACCAGCTGTTAACATTTAAGTGTAGGCCTGAACAATGCTAAAGCACACCAATGAACGTAATGCGTCCCTTTTTAACCGGCGTTTATGCAGTCAATGGTACATGTAGGCAAAAATTAAGCATTAGAAGTTGACACAGTGACTGCATTCTCATCTCCTTGTATGTGCCTGACTACTGAAGAGCCTGAATGTTTCTGAAGGCTTTTGGAAGGTCACAGTCCATGCACTTCACTTAGACAGCTCGCTGGCAAACACATGCAAACTCGTGTGAAATTATTCCTATAAATGGCTGAATAATACTGAAAGTGTGAAATTACTGGATGACTGACATGCTTAGCCCTAATAATGAAACTAGAACAAAGCACGGAGAAAGACACCAGGAGACAGAGTTATATTGAGAAATCTTTGTAGGCGTTCTGCCAGCAACAAACTGTACATCTGTCATGCTGACTCAGAAAAATTACACATGCATTAGGCTGTAGCTTCATTTCACTTTCTTGCAAAAGTGTATTTGAGGAAGCATCAGGCTGTGGCTAATTTAAGACACAAAGGGTGTGTAAATAAAAGAAGAAGGACTTGTGTTCTAGCGAAGAAGGAACCATGAGCCTGGAGCCTATCCCGGCTGTGTTAGGGTGAGAGGCAGGGTGGAAAGGTCGCCAGTCTGTCGCAGGGCTGACACAGACAACCATCCACACCCCCCCGTGCTGCACTTCTAATTTATGTTAATAAAATATTAGTGTTGTGTTGGTGTGGCGTTTGTATGTTCTCCCTGTGTCTCTGTAGCGCTGCTGCTTTCTTCATTTTCTTTTTCCCTGTTTTTTTGTAAATATAGCACCAATGAGTCAGATCAAGGTGCTTCACTGTAACGTAAAAACAATAATACAAAGAAAAGCCCCAAATAATCAGACCACCTCCTAAGAGCAAGCATTTGGCGAGAGTGGGAAGGAAAAACTCCCTTTTAACAGGAAGAAACCTCCAGTAATACAAAGGCTGAGGACTGTGAGGGGAGGGGGAGTACGCTGCTTGGTAAGAGACGCCTAAGAAAAGCCTAGCTAGAACTTTAACGTGCAGCTGAAACTAATTTGATGACTCAAAGGTTTCTATGATTCTAAACACTTTGGCAAACAAGACTCACACTAAAGAGGAATATGGCTGCGATCAATAAATAAACAAAGAATATAAACGAGGACTAAGTAGAATCATTAACAGCACTGAAGTATTGTACGACAGCTCTGCTGTCTGAGACCAAGGACAGTTCGTGTACATCGTGTTTATATATTTACTGTCAACCTGAGAGAGAGCTCAGCGTTATGCAACAAATATACAGTGTGCTGTATCAGAAACATTATATAACTTACTGAGTCCAATGCTGTAGTTACATCACAGCCTCTCTGCTCTGGTCTTCTTCAGCTTCTGCCAGGGTAGAAAAACAGAGTCAATACACCTGCCACAGAAAAGTGTCATTGCAGAGATGAAGAAGTAGGGCTGTGCGATATGACCAAAATCTCATCTCCCGATATCAGACATCTATCGTCCGATAACGATATAAATTACAAATGTAACATTTTCTGTAAATTCTGTGAATCTCGGGCAGCTTGACTTGCGTGAAGTGTTTCCAGCTGGGCGTCGTGTAGCTGAGTTGAGTGTTTTAACCGATGCATGAAACGATACATTTTTAGACATAAGTTGTAACGGCGCCGTTTTCTTTGTGAGTATTTATTACACGGCGTGCTGCGGGGAGAAGCCTGTTCTAACGTTTGAGTCTAAGGTTTATTTTTTAGCACCTGGCTTCTCTTTTTTACTTCTCATCCGTAAATAATCTGCTCTTTCACGTGATTCCGTTTATTTTGAAAAGTCTGAACAGGATCTTGAGCTTTATTGTGAAAAGTTTATGTGGAACATAAACAAGCGGACACGCGATGGTTTTACCGTTGTTGTTGCTAACGACAACGCATAAAAACAGGCGCTTGTCCGTCCGTGGTGTGGTTATATTAAATATAAGAGAAAGAAGAAATGAATATAACCACTACAGTGACATCAGAACCATGAAAAAATATTACTGTAAACAGTTTATTTTGCGACACCACGAAACAAATGACAGCGTGAAATGAAACGATAGATGTTTTTGTATCGTCATCCGATATATATCGTTACATCGAGCAGCTCTATGAAGGAGAGTAAGAAACACTGCAGATCACAAGTTATTCATCTGCTTTTGACTGTGACACATACTCGCGTCTGATCTAAGGGACGGCCCGTGGCCATTAGTCAGGCTGCTTACAGGACTGGCCTGTGGACAAGCAAAACAGGACATGAGCAAGGAGCCGCACAAGAACCAGCGAAACGGTTCCATGTTCCTCATCAACCACTTGAAAAGCGCTTTGACCCAAAGCACCACCAGGACCACACATGAGTACAGCAGGATGAGATCACAGCTACAGACTATCAGACGCTTGACCAGCACAGAGACACGCCCCTCTGTGACACAGCCTCTCAGCTGATACTTCCAAGTCAAACAAAGCGCTCGGTCGCTGCCGGTCCCCGCCGGTCCCCGCCCAGCAGGAAATGATGAAAGGCCGCCTCGTGTCACACCTCTGGCTCCTGTCTTAGGGCGCTCCTTTGAACCAAATGAATGGTCAGGTGTCAGATTTTGCTGTGGTTGGTGAAAACAAGCAGTGATTTCTCACTTTTACCAGGCTAAGCAGGTAAAGTGAGAGGAGGCTGGGCAGATAAAACATCAGAGAGCTATGAGGTCACTCAGCTGACAAGTGGAAATTCCCTCATTAATTGAATAACATGGAAGGACAATAGCACTGCTTCCATCCAAGTTTCAGTCATTTGACACCCAAGAATTGAAGTTACTGCTCAGAAATGACACCTCAGTTGTTGTGTCTTTAGGGTTTGTACATAGGATTATATTACAAGAAAGTCAGAATTCAAGATTTATGGTTGTGATGTCACAGATTTAGAAGAAAAACGGTGAGATTCACGTACAACAAGATGTCAGTCTAACTCTCAAAAAGCATAGCAGCTCCGATGGACTCGTCCCAGGAGGAGGAAAAAGACACACCAGGACGCGTCTGACTCCCTACCTGCGTTTCTCATCAAGACTCCTGGACTTTCACTTCTCCGCTCTACCCGACACGCACGCTGACACGCACGCTGACACGCACGCTGACACGCACACTAACACAACCCTGCTCGACAGCCTCTCTCCCTGTGCTGCCTACCTGGCATTGACAGCAGAGCATTACAGAGACGTGGCGGGTTAATTGTTTATGGCTGGGCTGGGTCATAGCAGTGGATCCTGTTACTTTCCACTGACGTGAGTTCATGGAGGTAGGCACGCAGGCAGGTAAACAAACCCAGGCGAGGTGAGTGCATGGGGCAGTGCAGCGCGCTCACACACACCCACCTCCACGGGCACTGTGAACAAGCCGAGCATTAATGACATCAAATCAGCATCAAGCTGCTGTAGTGCAGGTCACTCACCATCTCTTCTGCGTGTACAGCAGGTGACCCTTTAGTGTTTAGTTACAAGCCTCCTTTTTCTTCAGAATGCGGTAACCGCCTCCTTTAAATCCCCAAAACACCCACACTGTGTGTGCTGGCCCCATGTGACGCCATCCTCTAACTGAGCAGCTTCGAGTGTGATTCCTGGCTCTCGCTGTGTCCTGATAGTGACGGATTTACAGTTCCCGCTACTCTCTCCTTCTGTGTGTGTCTCTTGTCCTACAAAAATGGGTGTATCTCCCTGAAAAGAGTGAGACAAATGTGAGTAAGAAGCACACCCACATGAAAAGCTCACTTTCCCTCCCTCCCTCCCTTTCAGTCTGGCTGTCAGCATTTCCTCCAGGATGCACACTATGACTGTGATTTATAGTGTGTTATATACTTGTGTTCTCTATCCAAGCAGCTGGACAGAATCCCAGCAATGCTGGGGAATAACAGGAGAAATGGCTTCCCCCTCACATACTGTATGGGACTGCACGGGGAACTGAAGCCATGATCCCGGCAGCGTTGGCGGCGTGCTCAGCCTGTAGAGCTACACACAGCGGGACCACACACAAACCCCCTTTAGCTCTGTAGTAGTCAAATAACTCCCAGTTCCTCTTGTGCTCCGTTAGTCTCCAACATATGAACTGAATGGTAAACAGCAGGAGAATGAAAGCAGTCGAGGGACTCCATGAAAAGAGTCGCCGTCTCCATGGCAATGCCAGAGGCAAAGAGCGCCCCCCCCCAAATCGCCGCAATCCTTTCTGTACACATAGGGAATTGTGGGAAAGCGGATATGGGCCACATAACCTCTCTGTCGGGTACCAGGCACATCTCCACTCACATCACTACACTTTGACTACATGCAGGTCAGAGGTCATGGTCAGGACACCAGTTTGACTTGGTATGAACTGTTACAGACACAAATCCCACTTCTACAGCTGATTCTGACCCGACACCTTACCATTGTCACAGGGTTTCAGTGTTGCAGACAAATATCAATGAAACAGACACAAAATCCAATATATCACCTTAAGTGTTTTTTGTTTGTTTGTTTTTGCCTTTTCTCATGTAAATAGTGAAATTCAGCCAGAACTACATCCACAGCATTGCTCAAAAACACAACTGCAACCTCTCCAAAGTAATCTAGCTGTCGCTCTGCAAACAGCAACCTGGCAAGTTCCCCATCTTTGCTAAACAAATACTTGTCTTTTGATGTAGGAGAGTCTAATTCTACTGTAATGTAGTCACCAGGTTAGTGCCTAAAATGACCTTCTCTTTCTCTTATCACGTTCCTTTAACCTCGATGGAAAACGTCCCGAGGAGAGGCACCAAGGAGAACTCACAAGGCAACTGCAGCTCTTACAGGACACTGGGCTATTGGATGGTGTGATGGTGGTGACACGGGTCGTGCTCATGGTGAATGACAGCAACACGCAGCACAGACCATAACTCCAAACTTATAGTTGGAGCTGCTGTGGCTCTGGTGGAGCAGAAGAGGATCAATCCCTGATACAAAGTCCGGCCTGGATGCCGAAATATCCTTGAGCCTGGACCCAGGCTGCATCCACTAAAGTGTGTGTGTGTGTGTGTGTGTGTGTGTGTGTGTGTGTGTGTGTGTGTGTGTGTGTGTGTGTGGGACTGGGTGAATGAGACTTGTAGTTGGAGGTTGTAGTGTAACTCCTGACTTTGTGAAGACTTTCTGTGACTGAAGTAAGTTACAGATCATCCTGAGAGCAGCCAACACATCAACACAGCAACTGATGGTGTGCTTATCCTGAACTCACTTTGATATACGCCGCTCCCTCGCTATAACGCGGTTCACCTTTGCGGCCTCGCTGTTTCGCTGATTTTTTTTGTGCAATTTTGCATGTTTTTATTCCCAGCACATTGTGTTCTGCGTCCTGATTGGCTGTAGACCACCGTCAGTCTCGTACAGCACAGAAGCGTTCAGCTTGTGTACTGTACATAAATCTTCGATCCTAGCAGTGTGACTCTGAAGTGCTGCACTGCATGTTTGTAAGTTTTTCCCCCAACAAACAACAGTGTTGATGAAACGTCGTCACCTGCAGGTTCCTTTGGTTTCTTTCTGTAATACTGGACTCATTTTCTACAAGGTTTGAACTTTGAGAGTTTAAACAAGACAGAAAAGTGTGAAAAGTGTGTCGTGAGGGGTTTTACAGCCTTAAAACATCTATAATAATTGTAAAAAATAAAGTTGGCTACTTTGCGGATTTCACTTATCGCGGGTTGTTTTTAGAACGTAACTCCTGCGATAAACGAGCGACTGCTGTAACTCATAACAGCTTTTATGGATTTGTTTTTTGTCCCACACAGCAACCACTTCATACAGAGCACATGTTATTACAAAAAGGTAATGTTCACAGTTCACCTATAAAGTGACTTTAAGGTATGGGTCATGGCATGCAATGAAAAAACATTTCCATGAGCTGCATCCCTTGTTGGTCATGCTTATGTTTATGGAAACAGTCAAAGAGTGTGTTGCTGTGAATTGTGGTTCAGCATTATCCGTCCAACCTGCTAAAGAAGGTAAGAAGGAAATAATAATAATAATACATTTTATTGAAGAGTGTCTTTCTAAGGTCACCTTACAAAGAGAAAAGAAACTGTAGATTACAATAGATTAAAACTGACAACAAGTAAAATCTGTATTAAAGTGAGTAAGCCAGTTTAAACAAGTAGGTTTGGAGCTGTGACTTATCTGGTCTCTAATGGGAGTCCGAGTTATGACCCGAGCTGCAGGATCCTGAAGAAGCTGAAGTTTATGGACGGACTTACTGGGGAGACCAAATAGGAGGGAGTTGCAATAATCAATCCGGGAAGTAATAAGACTGGACGAGGACGGCAGCAGCATGGGGAGTAAAGAAGGGACGAAGTCGGCTAATGTTATGTAAGTG